GCAGAGGGGAGGAAACTGTGATGCATGCTGGGAATATTGTGGGATTGTATGTCTGAAATGTCCCCATGTCCATCTGCTATTCCAGTCTCCCATTTGGTCCCCTAGGGGAGAGTCCACCAAGTGGGAGACCTGCATAAATACGGGCAGGTAGCCCACAGTAAACTCAGTTCATGTTTTACCCTCAAAGCGGAGCTTGGTCTCGTTATTGGGGGGATTTTATTACCGGCTGTAACGGAGCTCCTTGTACTCCGACTGAGTACCCTCCGTTGACGGATGCTCCTAGCGCTTCCTGAGGACTCCAAACACTGCAGCAGACACCACAACCACCGCAGACTCCGCAACCGCCGTATCTTGACTGGAGTCTCGCCGTCTTCCTTCCACCCTGGATCAGCTTCTGTCCTCCAAGACTGTGTGGGAAAGAACTCTTCCTTCCACCCTGTATGAACCTCCAGCATCCAGGACTGTGTGGTGAAGACCCCTCCTACAAGGAGAGCGTGTCAGGAACAAGCTCTTAAAAGAGCTAAGTGACTCAAGCTCAGGGGAGCATGCAGAGCATAGCAATCCCCAGTGTGATTATAACAGCTCCCTCCAATAACGAGACAAGGCTACGTTTAGAGGGATCAAGAAGAACTGTCAAAACCTTTATTTCCCTTGGGACCAGCCAATAGGGTCACCACAATAACATTGTTGTGAAACCTCAATAAAATCACAAACAGTCAAACCATATCAAGCAACACACAGTGACTTATCACAACACAATGGCACATTTTTAAAGGGGTGGGGGGAGACAATATTTAACAGTAAATATCTCACCTGCCTGCAGAATTAGCAATATGCAAATCTACCCGAATATGCAAATGAACCAGTCTTGCAATTCAGGTAGTGCATATTGCTGTTGCTACCAACAGAGGGCACTAGACAAGCTCCATAGCCAAACCCACCTAGTTGGTAGCAAACCTCAGCAATACAAGAGAGCAGGCAATATGTTACACAGTACACACACTATAAACAATTACATTACACACACCCTGCACCTATAATGGGTACAGGGTGACTAAAACATAAGATAAATAAAGCAGCCTACATAAATAGTCTGTCTGAAGGTAGACTAGGGGCTTTAAAACCAGATACATGAAAGAGTCATAGTCACAGGGGAGGAGGCTGGCAAGTAGGCCTCTCCAGGACCAAGGACACTTTGTCACACCGGCGATTAGAGACTGCTCATTGGAAATATTTGCCGCTTGGAAGATATTGGCGTTCGGCTGATATTGGCATTTTGTGTATTTGGAGCTTGTGAAGGGAAGGAGCCGTACGGGTACCGTTCGGGAGTTTGGAGTGTTCCCTGGCTGGCGGTTCGCATGCTTGTATTGTATACGCTACCAGACAACATTATTGCGAACGGGGAGCATTCACTAAACGGCGGTTTGTACGTGTATTACTGAAGGTACCGTAACAGTGGGTAAAAACTGTGACTGTGTCTGAAATGTCCCCATGTCTGTCTGTCATTACAGTCTCCCATTTGGTCCCCTAGGGGAGTGTCCACCAAGAGGGAGACCGGCATAAATACGGGCGGGTAGCCCACAGTAAAGCCAGATCCTGTTTGACCCTCAATGCGGAGCTTCTGTCTTGTTATTGGGGGGATTTCTTCTTTGCGCTTAGAGACTGCTGATTGGAACCGAAAGCCGTTTGGTGGATATTGTTGTTCGGCGGCTAGCAGCAGTTTGTGGATTTCCGTTCGGGAATTTGGAGCCTTACACGGATCCCGGTCGGGAGATTGCCGCTTCCCCTGAGATTGGTTCGTACACTACAGTTTATGCGAACGGAGATTATTGGTATTGCAGAAGGGGAAGGCTAACTAAACGGCGGTTTTGTTTAAAGACACCATGGGTGTCTTAACAATGCCCTCTACATGCTCTATATGTAAGGTGGTGTTAACTATATGCTTGATGTATTAGTGGAAACACAATATATGTGAATGATATAAGACACATCCTCTATGAGTCTATTCTAATACTGGTTCTATGTGTGGGTTGTTAGTCACAACCTCAGTATATGTGAGTGGTATAATGTGTGAATGAAGTCTTGTTAAAACACAGCCTCAATGTATCTCCCTCATATAATCTTAATATGTGTGCAGGCATAGTGTCACTGTATATAGCAGAGGTAGGCTATGTATGATTACTGTTTAAACAGACTCATTATATGTAACTGATATCTCTGTGTATAAGGTGCAGTTAGAAACACCCACAATGTATGTGATTCATATAATCTGTATGCAGGTTGGTAGTATTAGATAACCCCAATTTATACACGGCATTGGTAGATTTAATAATACAAATGATCTAAGGTCTGTTTTGCGCGGAAATGGAGCACTGCCCAAATACAAATGCATTGTTGCACTGGGTAAGTAACTATTGCCTACTGTGGATTTTCACAGTTTTTAAATGAAGTAGATAAGGAAACATACTGCTTTTGGCTTTGTATTAGATTCCTTCTCCCACAGGTGTTTCAGGATTAGCAATTAACACATTTTACCACTTCAGATGGATTGCAGGTGTTACTGAACCTGTCTGAGTGCCTCTCCCAGGAGAGAAGGAGACCTGAATTTCCAAAATGGAGCATGGTACTGTTAACAGAATCAATGCTTTTTTGTGTGTGCACACCCATGTATATATACAGGATTTATGCTGATTGCAGGAGCACACATTGGGCTATTTATTGATCTCACAAGTAGGTAACTCTGAAGCAATTACCTGACTGTTTTCACTGGTATATTTTCTTTCTTTCTAAAATCTAATTTAACTGAATTTAAAAGCTGTTCATATTGGACTTTTCTTTCACCTGGTCATACCTTTAGTATCATTGTATTTTCTGCAAGCCTCTACTCTGAACAACTCACTACTTCTGGTCTGGTTTATACTCTTTATTCAGTTTTTTGCTCCATTCCCTGGGATTGCTTTAACATATTCTTTAGAACTGAGTATATTTCCTTAAAGCACAATCTTTATAATTTGGAGAACGCACTGAATTTTATATTCAGTATTCTCTCTTATACCTTGGGGACCTGAAAGTTTGGCAATCCCGTTTAGTATATGTCAGGGGTGGCATGCTTTTGGTTCATAAGGAGTTAATGATCAGAAAATTCTGACAGATTCCCCTGTTGTGAAGGGCAACATTAAACTTCCTTTCTGTAATAGAAGGTATTATTTTAGGCTCATATACTCCAGGTAACTTTGATGCTGTGTATTGCAAGTATTTTAATTGACATTGTTAGATCTTTCCAGTACCCAGACCATTCTACCAGGTTTACTATGTCAGGTAAAATTCACCTGCTACCAGAACAATAAAGGAAATCCCTGAACATGTCGTTCCAGTGGGACCTTTGTTCTTATATTAATGGGGATTCTTTTAGGTGTCCTTTATATCTGGAATTGCAACCAATGTGTGACTTTAAGTGGTTGATTTTATCCTGCATAATAAAATGTAATGCAGCTTGTTGAGGACAAACATTTGACCGATATGTTTTTACATGGTCTGTATCTAGAGCGGTATAAGTTATGGTCTCTCCTAACATTGCATGGATGTAATACCTGTGGATTATATGCTTACATTGGTGTTGATATCCTGCAGATAAAACAAACTGATTTATTATCACCATAGGTTCTGCCATAGTACTTCTTCACTATCTGAAGATAAGGTAAGAGTAAGTATGCGGTTGTTTGTTCTCCTACTATCCTGCTTATTATGTGTCTGTTGCCACAATGTATAATGTGCCTCTGGTTACCACCTTCCCATCAGTATCCTGCCTATTCCATATCTCCTATTATATTGCACATCAGTCTCTAATAAATTTGACTATACGGTTTAGCATAATCTGTACTATTTACAGTATGTTTATATTTGAATGTAGGTACTGACGTGGTTGGCTTCCTTATAATTTAGTAGTTGCCACAATTTCTACCGTTCATACAGATATTTGTTTTTGTCTTCATCTAATCGGTATATAATTCTTCTTGTCTTTGCCTAGATTTATACCGCTCCTGTGACTGATCATTGCAGTATCAATTCATCCACAGTGTGAGGAATTGTCGTGAGTCTGGTTTGGCAATATATAGTCATTATTGTGCTTTGCCACTTTCTGACAGGCAAATATTGATTTGTTTCCTGTATCTACAGGTAAGCAAAATACATCCAGAAAGTAGTAGGATTCTCAGTGTAATTCTCCCCATGTTTAATAGCATGGTGTGACTGTTCTTACCCAATATTATCTGCTTGTTCCAGTATGATCCTGGAAGTTATGACTTTATCAAGGTTCTGATTTGATGATGTCATCCATTAGTTTTAGATTTATATCAGAAAAGAACATTAATTTTTTAATCCATCACAAGATGGGTTCCTTATTGCTTACAAGAGTTTGTCTAGCCTTGTTCTTTCTCTAGGTTTGGCTGTCATGGCCTTAATTCCTATCCTAACATTTGAATGCCAGGAGGTTGCAGACCTTGCAGCCGCTAGGGCAAATTACCTTGTCTGAACAGATTTATAACAGATTTATTACTGGTTTGGCTTTTTTTAAAGTCTTCTAAGGTTTATGCAGCCCAATAATGGTTTTATAACTAACTGTTTTTGAACTCTGTCCCTCCCTCGATTTATATATACTGCTTGGGTATTACCCATGAGTAAATGCTGCCATGAATAATGGTCAGGAAAAAGGAAAATTTGCTTCATACTTACCGTAATTTTATTTTCCTGATAATTTATTCATGGCAGCATTACGTTCCCACCCATATACTATAAGAGTGGTGAAGCTAGATAACAAAGACTGCCTGATGGGAAGGGGGAGGATCTATTTATACCAGTTTCCTGTCCTTTCTGGTGTGAGGAGAGGAGCTAACCCATGAGTAAATGCTGCCATGAATTAAATTATCAGGAAAAGAAAATTACGCCCTGCTCCAAAGTCATCTACGTATCCCCACGACCGTCCGCCTCGAAGGTGATGAAAAATAACAATACAGGACTCTTTCGAGGCCCTGTATTTGGTATGAATACACTTTAAATCCTTTAACGAGGATCTATTGGAGGGCAAATCTGGTGCCAGCAGCCGCGGTAATTCCAGCTCCAACCATTGGGGGCTGGGAGTTTGCAGCAAGAGGCTGTGTGCTGATTGTTCCAGGACCACACCCTGGGAGTGTTTGTTTGCTTCCCCAGTTTGGTGCACCCTTTCTGGGCTGTGAATTGGAACTTGGCTCCTGGAGCCCCTGGTTTCAGGCAGCATGTCCTCAGGGTCTCCCTCCCCTGTCAGGGGATGGGAGGACTGGCTGAAGCAGGTGGAAGATGAACTATATGCGGTGGCTGATTTGCCTGAAGCTGTGTCCCTGTCTTGGACTGAGCACCAAGCTCTTGCCAGGACCACAAGGCAACAGGTGAATAAGCTACAGGATTTGGAGGGGAAACTGCAGAAAAGGTATGAGGAATGGAAAAAGGGAGTGGGGGTCCCACATGGACCTGCAGGGGTTACACGCTCCCATATTACTACGCTGAAGGGGCTGCTTGGCCTTTGCAGGGAGAAAGTGGCTGATGGACTCCACTTTCTGGAGCAAAACCCCCCCCTCCCCTAGAATTGGTAGACTGCCCCATGGAGATGGCCCTGGAGGGGTCTCTGGAGACAGAAGCTGGGGCTGAAGCTGGTGAACCCCCAACCCCATGCACCTATGCTCAGGCAGCAGGGGGTGGAGGGGTTAATACTGCTACAATTGCCCTGAAAGAGCTGCCTAACATCAAGCTACTATCTTTATTAAAATAAATTAAAGACAAACATACTGAAGTCGACTGTAATTTGGCTACTTTGCAGACTGAACTTAAAAATCTCAGGAGTCAGTCTAGCAAAATGTCAAATAATAAGAGGTCCAGTCAGATCATTGAGAAAAAAAACTTGGAGCAGCAATTCAGCTTCAAGCTGCTGCACCTGGAGTCACAAATTACACAGATCCAGTCTCTCATGCAGCAGCGGCTGAAAAACTCAGCTAGATTGAAGAGACAGGAGTCTCTTGGGGGTAGGAGGGATATTCCTGAAGGTGGGGTGTCTGGCATGGAGTCTGGAGGTGACCAGACCACCTCACTAGAGGGGAGACCCCCTCCTCCTCCAACCATGCTGGAGGGCCGTGCTCAAACAGGTATAACAGCAACAGAAAAGGAAGAGAAATGGGGTACTGAAGAAAGAGGAGAGTGGAGACTGGAAGTCGCTGAAACAAAACACCAGCAACCTATTAAAGAAGCACTTCTTGCCTTTGACGTTGATGACCTGGAGGGAGCTATTGACAGCAATGTAAGGAGGAAGAAAAAGAAGTCCAAAAAGCTGAAGAACCCTGCTACCCGCAAGCCTGAGGCTGGGATCCACAGGGAGTCTGGAGGATCGGTGGGGGAGGGTGAGTACTCATCAGATTTCACATATTCTGATGAGGATTTTCCATCTCTGCGGGCCTCTGGGGTCTGCCCACCCTGTCCCTGCCGATCCCTCTGGGCCCCCCACCGCCCTCCATGGTGACAGGGAGACCGACCCCGCTGGTGCAGTGACTGGCACCAGTGATCCCATGGAGGGGGCTTCCCTTTCACCCCTTCCCATTCCCCCCCTCTGACCTTCCTTTGGTTGTTGCTCCTTCCATGTATGTGGCTGCCTCAGATGCCGGCACCAGACAGTCTGCTGGTCCTCCCATGGAGACTGCTCTGGTTGCTGTCTCTGAGCAGCCCCAGGAAAGTTGTGTTGTTGTCTCTTCCCCCTCCCGGTATGTAAATGTCTTGTCTGTGTCAGATTGTATGGATATGAATGTTAGTACCCCTTTAAATGATTTGAATGTTGGTACCCCTTTAAATGGTTTGAATGATTTGTCCGAGACAGTGTCTGTCCCCATGTCTGCAGCCCTGGTTCCCCCACTGTGCGCTGGATCCGCGGGTGCGCATGGTGCCAGTGCCCGCGGGTACTGTGTGTGCCACGGGCGCGCGCGGTGCGGGTGCCTGTGCCGCGGGTGCGCATGGTGCCGATGTGCGTGGGTGCCGCGGGTCCCACGGGTGCCGGTAGAACAGTGACTTCCTATCACGCTCAGCCATCCGGCAATCTGTGTGGGGCTGCCGGTGGAGCTGAATTAGGCTCTGCTGGGCGCTCTGCAGGTGGTCCTGTGCTGGCTGGGGGTGGTGGGACTGGGGGGCTGGGTTATTTAACTGAACCCACTGATCTGAAGGTGATATATCAGGAGTTCATCCGCAGTCAGGTGGCTCCATCAGTTAAGCAAATACGTGCACAGAATGTAAATGTCACTAATGCCAGTAATTCTGCTATGGTTGCTAATGCCAGTAATTTTTCTGTTACCTCTGCTCCCACTGCCCCTTCTGCCCTCCCTGCCCCCTCTGACCTCCAGGTCACCTCTGTCCCTTCTGGTCTCCCTGCCCCTTCCGGTCACCCTGGTACCCCCGGTCCCTCTGTTGCTAATGTCTCCTCTAATGTTGGTATGGATAGTGCTGGCACCCCTGCTCGTGGTGCCAATGTGGGATCTGTAAATAGTTTCTCAGCACTTGGTTATGTCCCTATGCACCCCCAGGCCGTCACTCAGGGTGCCGTGACCGGGGTCTCCAGCAATGGCCCTGCCACTGGAGTAACCCGGACCCCAGTGTCCCAGACGGCAGGACCCCGTGTGCCAAATGCTTGGACATCTGGGCCACCTCGTCTGACCATGGCTGGGCCCGCCGCGCACCCTCAGGCCCACCCTCCAGGGGGCAGGAGGAACGTGGTACGGCTGGCCTGGGAGGGCGAGACCCGGGTGCCTGACAGGAGGGTACTGGTGTCCTGTCTGAAGGATATGGGTTTCTCCCCCTCCGATCTGTACGCCCTCATCCACGCCTCAGGGACCCGGGAGTTCGACGTCTCCTTCATGACGTCGCAGCTCCTGGACCATTTCTGGGCTGGGTGGGAGGCGGCCAGCTCTCGGCAGGGGTCGAGATGGACCGGGTTTGCTGCTATACCCGTTTCTCGCCAGGGGGTCAAGAAAGTGACTTTCTTGGTGAGGAACGAGTCCATCCCTATAGCGGATATCCTGGGATGGGTCAGGAGATACGGGGATGTAAAAAGTCCCCCCGTGAAGATCTTGGATGAGGATGGAATTTGGACAGGTGGGTGGACTGTCCCGGTAATGTTGAGGGAGATTCGGGGTGTCACGCAGCACATGCCCAACAGTTTCTTTATCGGGGCCAGCCTCGATCCTGTCACAAGTGCGGATCGTATAGGCATTTTAGTAATGCCTGTACGGTCCAGAAATGCACTATGTGCGGTGCTGTGGGGCATCTCAGGGACTCCTGCTCGGAGATCAGGTGCCATCTGTGCGGGGGGATGGGGCACTCGTATCGCACCTGCCCCGAAGCCCAGCATAACATCGAGTCAATCTGGAGTCTGGAGCCAGTGGAGATGGACTCAGCTGGGTTAGGGGAAGTGGTTGCCGGAACATCAGGTGTCTCCGTCCCTAGCACATCGGTCTCCGGGCCCCGACCGCCGTCCATCTCCCCCCCCCCGGTCTTAAGTGTAACATCTAAGGCCCCAGTGACGGCTGTTAGCTCACTCCCTCACAAAGAAACGGTTAGAGTAGGCACTTCCACCACGGGTGTTGGCCCTGAGTCCCCTGGGCCTTCTCCCACTGTAAATATCCCCTTGGTCAAGTCTGTTCCCTTGGTACCCCCCCCTGAGTTAGCATGGCAAGTAATAGAAGGTAGAGCTAGACATCCCCCTCCTCCGAAGGTCTCGGCTCCCTCCTCGCCTCGGAAGACTGCCGGGCCCCCTGCGGAGCAGCCCCAGAAAAAGGGTGCTGCGACAAAGGGTGGCGAGGCAGGGAAAACCGTCTCCTCCCTGGCTGTGCAGGAGCCCCCAGTGCCCTTATCCAACCGATTTGAGGCACTGTCCTCCAGCTGGGGCGACTGCGTGCTAGAGGGGGAGATGGCGGACCTTTCTGGGGTGGGGTTGGGGGTCGAGATTGGAGGGGTAGTGCCTCTGAGGGACGACGAGCCCCTCGTTCCCGGTGTCTCTGTGAAGAGGTACTGCTCCGACTCGGAGGAGGAGGGGGATAGCAGAAAGAAGGGAAAATCTCCTTGTGCTTAAATGCCTCTCATGGCTAGTTTCCCTATACTCTCTGTGGCTACGGTGAACGTAAATAGTATAAAGTCCAGCAGGGCCCGCTTCTTGGTTTATGACCACCTCAGCTGGGCTCCGTACAATGTAATCTTAGTACAGGAGACTCGGCTGGAAACCCTTGCGGCCCTGCACGCTGCAAAGCGGGACTGGAGATGGGGGCCCTCCTACTTCTCCCTAGCCACAGAGATATGGGGGGATTGCCATCCTATTCAAGGAAGTTGATGCTTGCATCAACAGTCATTGAGCTGCAAAAATGTGTCGCTGGGCAGGCAACCTCTCCGTATCATCAACACCTATGGCCCCCAAACCAAGTGGGAGAGGAAGTGCCTGTTTAGCGAGATAGAGCCATGCCTGTATACATCCAAGCAAATTCTGTTTGGCGGTGATTTTTAACACCATCACTAGGCCTCAGGACAGGAGAGGCGCCACTCAGAGACTTGGATATGATTCCATTTTTCTAAATAGAATGGTTAGTCAGGCTGGATTGGTGGATGCGTACATTCACCACGCTCCCAATCCCACGGGTGGGTACACATATCATAGAGGTAGTAGTCAGAGTAGAATAGATAGGATTTTTGTTATGGAGGATTTCCCGGTGGCGGCACCTGTGCTTACGCCGGTGGAGTTCTCCGACCATCACATTCTATCTTGTGAGTTGAACGTCCGCAACACCCCATCTAAAGGTAGAGGGATATGGCGGCTCAATTCAGACCGCCTGGTGGAACCAAGGGTTCAGCAGGCTTTCAAGGATTTCTTCCACGACCAGATGACTTTGGCCGACTTAGGTCAGACGAAGTCTGAGTGGTGGGAGATGGTGAAGGCCAGGACTCGAAGGCTTTTTCACAATCTTGCCCAGAACATGCAATCCTCTAGATACAAGGTGTATCTGAGCTTACTCGCGAGGTTAGACATCTTGTTCTCGCAGGGAGGTGACCCCGAGGATGTTGCGGCGGTCAAGGCCCTGATAAGGAGTTTTCCATATGACAGATACGCCTCCCTTGAAAAGGAGAGGGATCATGGGGCTTACCACTCGCCCGATCCTTATCTTAGTTGCAAGAGGAAGGAAGGTACCAAGACCATCTCTAGTCTGCGGAGCGCCGACGGAATCCTCGAGGAGTCCCCTCGTGGGATTCTGAAGGTGGTCCGCGACTACTATATTGGGCTCCTCGGAAAGGGCAGACCCCGATATGCCGAGGGGGGAACGTCCCGCGGGAGGGAGGTGGATGATTTCTTGAGTGGGATCACGCTTCCTGAGAATACCGACCTTCCTTGGGATGAGTTGGTCAGTGAGATCACCATAGAAGACGTCACAGAGAGTATCATACAGCAGAACAAGAATAAGTTGCCAAGTCCCGATGGCCTGACGGCTGAATTCTACCAGCAGTTCTGCACTCTTTTGGCCCCTCATCTAACAGAGGTGTATGAGAGCCTGGCTCAAGGATTACTACCAGCCTCGATGAGGTCTTCTGCCCTGATCTTACTGACCAAGCCGAACGTAGTCGACACTGCGGATGTGGGGAACTGGCGACCCATATCCCTCCTTAATGTCGAAAGGAAGGTCCTGGCAAAGATCTTGATGAAACGTTTACAGGGCCTGGCCGGTAGCATCCTATCCACCTCCCAGTACTGTGCGCTCGGGGGCAGAACTGTCTTCGATGCCGTTTTCGAGGTCAGGGAAGCTCTCGAGAAGTGCAGGGCTGGGGTGAAGGGGATATACCTCCTGGCACTTGATCAGTCCAAGGCTTTTGATCGGGTCGATCACTGTTATCTATGGTCAGTCTTGCGGAAGTATGGCTTGCCCAGTAAATTCATCAATTGGATTATCACCCTTTATAGGGGGGCCGACAGCTTCGCTCTGGTAAACGGTTGGAAAGGCAGAGCGTTTGGGATCCGATCCGGAGTCCGGCAAGGCTGTCCTCTCAGCCCGCTCATGTACGTATTCGCGATCGACCCCTTTATAAGGGCAATCGACGGGAGTGCGTTACAAGGAGTGGCCAGGGCTCCGGAGAGGCCTTTACGGGTGGTAGCCTATGCTGATGACATCTCCATCGTGGTCTCCAAGACTCAGGAGTCCGCTTTGGTGGATGACATGATTCGCGCTTACTCTGCCGCTTCCTCCTCTCAGGTCAACAAGTGCAAGAGCGGAGTTTTCTGGTGCGGGAAGGAGGGGGACCAGTTTCCCCTTCCAGACGGCTTCCCTCAGGCCCAACCCGAAATTAAAATCTTGGGAGTGGTGTTCGGACCAGGGGATCTGGCTCTCAGAAACTGGTCCGAAAGGCTTGCCATAGCTTCCAGCAAAGTGGAGGAGAGCCATCGGTGGAAACTGACCTATAGAGAACGGGTGAAACTGATTAAAACCCATGTGCTGACTGTATTCGGTTACGTCAGTAACATCTTTCTTTTGCCCAGGTCTCTTCACGCTCCGATGTTCGCTCTGTTCTTCCGCATGTTGTGGGGGAACAGGCTGAACCTCATCAAGAGAGAGGTCACTTACCTGGCCAGGAAGGACGGGGGTTTGGCCATGGTCAACCCCATCGTCTATTTCAACAACACCTTCCTGAAAAGGAATTTTGGGGCTCTCCTGAAGGACGAGCCGCCCGGCTGGGTATGTATTTTCAGGGAGTGGGTCGCACCTTTCCTGGTGGACTGGTTCCGGGGCGGGAAGGTGAAGAGTCTGAGAGTCTGGCACTCTCATTACCTCCCGACTTCGGTCATCGAGGGAGTGGGAATTCTTCGCAGGTGGAATGTCACGGTGGATTCTCGACGGGAGGGTCCTGGCCACCCACTATGGCATTCAGCTCGCATTGAGGGACTGCCCGCCAAGTACTCTCGCCTCCGGGGTTGAAAAACATCAACTCCAGGCGCCTTCCGGAGAAATACCGAGACTTGGCGTTTCTCTCCTTCCACGGTAGACTCTGCGTTAGAGGTAACTTGAAGTACAGGAACATCGCGGATCGCGGTTGTCCTCGGGTGGAATGTTCCGGGAGAGTGGAGTCCATGGACCACTTTCTCCTCGAGTGCTCCTTTAACGTATGGGTCTACAAAGAGGTCTCGACCGCCTTGGGCATCCCCTGCCTATCCCGCTGGACTTACGCGCAGTGGGTGTACGGGACGTCCAACTCACGGGGGAGGAACTTTAATTTGAGCACTCTTTTCCTAGTTACTTCAGTGGTCAAGTACTTCACGTGGATGGCACGGTGTCAGGTTTCCCTTCAGAGAAAAGACCTTTCCTGTCAGGTGGTGGTGGCAGACATCCGGAGAGCGGTTTGCGGGATCTATAATTCGGAAAGGGCCTCCATGGATCCCACAATTTGGCAGCGTCTGTGGCGAAATTTCAAGGTCCACCCGCCTTGAGCCGATCCACGGGCGCCCTTGTCTTGGTGACGGTTTTTCTTCCGAAATTCTATTCTTCACCCCCCCACTTTAGATTTTTGAGAGCATTTTTGATTTTAATGGAAGGCTACCACACTTTTTCCAAGATGAGTACCTTCTTTTTGTAGGGAATTTGTAGGGAATTTGTAGGGAATTTGTATATAATGTTGTATATTGTTGGGCTGGTTTTTGTCTTGTTTTTGCACAAATGGCGGGTGGGGATGTTGTTGGGTAAAGGCATTGTTACGATTGCCCCCAGTCTAGCAGGAGGGTTGATCGCTTGGATGTCCTGGTTCCCACTGTAGAGAGTCGAACGGAGGTCTTTCGGTAGCAAGCTGTAAGTGTAGAATATCCCCAAGCACGAAATAAGCATCAATATCCCGGATCCCTACAACATGAGTCGAGGCTGCAAGTTGAGGGTCAAAACGAACTGGCTTTACTGGCACATAGCATGGCAATTTATGTGACTCCCCAGGTCCAAGGACAGCCCCCTGTGGACCTGATGGAATACAGGTACAGTACAAACAGGTAACCAATCACAGTACACTGTATCATTTGAATTAGTACCCGCCCAGCTTGGAGATAATGAGGCCAACGGTTTTGCAATCTAATTATCTCCAAGCGCACAAAAGACCACGTTTTATTATGTCCTAGAAAACTACATGAAAATCCATAACTTGTACATTATTACAGTAACACCACTCATTCTACCATTCATCTGAAGGCTCGCGTTCGTGTATATAAAATAGGCGAATGGCGCTCTAATCCCACGAACAGAATGTACTGTTTCTGCCGTATAAAGTCCGTTCGGCATTTTGAGATTGTTAGTCTCTGTTGGCGGCCATGTTTTCTGCTGGTTTAGCAAGCAGCGGGACTTTGTGTCTAACTCGTGGAACTAAACTCGGTATCAGTTCATGCGAAGTCCCGCTGTCTGTCTGGTAGTGGGCTCGTTCGGTAAGAGAATGAGGACCACCTGGGAGCAGGGTACTTGACCTGCGGTTAACTGCAGAAACCACAAGTTAATGAGCGCCATGCGACCCACTGTAGGGGGTCGCCGTTCGGTATATTCCCTTCGGTGCTTTGGGTGCGAACGTCGATGCCCCCAGGCCTATTAATTACGTTGTGGTTAACCGCAAACCGCAGCCACCTGGGTGGTTAATGGCTGCCACACTCCGCGGGCCGGGTGGTCGACCGTTCGGTAGTTTGCGGGGTGACGGGGTTAAGTGGCACACACCTGTTTCTGGGGGGTCCCCCGTTCGTACCACGAATGGAGCCTTCATAAGGGTTTGCGTAATCCATTCATGTGGTTTTTCTCCTTAACTTATGCAGTGGCAAACAGTATCAATCAGTGAGTTAAAACAGCAACATAGTGATTTCCAGTCTTTTGTAACAGGCATACCTTAACGGACTTATTGTATGGACTTTTTGCGGGTGGTGGGTTTTCTCATGTTTATCTGGGATGGGTGTTTATGGACGGAGGGATGGACTCCTTGGGGTGGTGGGTTTTGTGTGTGGGAAAGAGAAGACATCCTTTGGGTGGTGGGTTTGGGGATTGGTGATGTCATATTTAATACCAAATATGCAATAAGTAAGGTTACGGACATTTCTGAACTTTGATATATGTATATAGTTCCCCCCCCCCCTTTTATTTATTTTGCGAGGGTCACCTGGCTGTCGGATGTCAGATCAGTGGGCTCTCCCCTTTGTGTCTTGTCCTGTGTCTTGTCCCGCGTCCTGTTTCATGTTTTCTGTCCCCCCCCCCCTCCCCTTCACAGGGTAGATGTAAAGAAGCCTCATAAGGTAATGAGGACTTCTTTTTGGTTTTGGGGCCCATGTGACTAATGGGACCCCAGGTGTTATGCTTTTCTTTGTTTTCTCTTTATGCAAGGCTTTCAGCAAGTTATGTGCAATGTGAGGGGCGCGTGTCTCTGGGATGCACTTGTCCCTGGGGTGTGCGTATCTCGGGGGTGTGCGTGCCTCTGGGGTGTGCGCATCTAGGGGATGGGCGTGTCTCGGAGAGATGTGTTTTCTTCGGGGGGTAAATGCCTCCAAAGCAGGTATTGATGGTCTGTGTGTTTCTTTGTTTTGTACAGTTCCTATTATGCTGGTTTTTGTTTTTGATGTTTTGTATGGAATTTACTGTTCATTTATTGTTATTTTTGTCTATTTTGTTACTCTTTGTGGCATAATTTTCAAATAAACCAAATATTCCAGCTCCAACCTCTGGGGGCTGGAAGGTGGACGGCTGTTGGTGGTGCTCAGAAGCAGCTCCTGCTTCCTTGGAAGTCTGTGGGGTGTGCCTGTAATTTCAGCCCGATTTCCCTGCACTGTTCCTGGGGAATACTTACTGGACATTGGGGCTCTGCCTGGGCCTAAGGCAGCATGGCCCTCAGGCCTTCCTCCCCAGCCTGGGGATGGAAGGTCAAGTTAGACAAGCTACAGGTTAGTCTGGCCTTTGGGGAAGGAAAAGTGGATACCAGGAGCCTGTCCTGGACTGAACACCAGGCCCTCTCCCGGCAAGTAAGACAACAAGTATCCCAGTTGGAAGAACTGGCGGGGGGGGATGGCAAACAAGAAGGGAGTGGGGGTCCCCCAGGGAGCCTTGGCACCATACCAGGGCCGATATCCAGCTGCTCTCTGGGTTGCTGGCTGAGTGCAAGGAACTTGCCAGCGACGGCCTCCACTTCCTGGAGCAGCCCCCCCCCGTCACTGGATGCGGGAGAGGGTCCCGAGGAGGAGGTAGTCCTTGAGACCCCCCTGAGGTGGTTGGTACCAGCGAGGCCCCTCAGGCCTCCCTCACCTATGCTGCGGCTACAAAGGGTGAGGGGGTTGAGGCTAGGGCATTCAGAGGGCTACCTTCTGACAGGCTCCGAGGTCTGCTTGTGTCCCTGAAGGCCCAGCACGCCGAGGCGGATGCTGGCCTTGCTGGGGTCCAGGCAGAGCTCAGGGAGCAGAGAGAGAAATCCAGCATGACCTCTAACCACAAAAGGAGTCCTGTGAGGGCCATTATAGCCCAGAAAAAACTGGAGGAGCAGCAGCTTTTTTTACACCCTGCTCCAGACTGAATCCAAAATGGCGGACATCCAGTCCATCCTGCGACAGCGGGCCAAGGAGGCAGCACAATCCAGGAGGCAGAGGGCCCTTGGGGGTAGGAGGGACATGTCCCCAGGTGAAGAGTCCAGCAGGGACTTGGATGCTGACTCCCATCACTCACCTGGGGAGCAATGTGCCTCCACCCTTACCACACCGGGGGGCGCGGCTGAGACAGAGAGGAGGGCCAGAGAGAAGGACAGCGAAGCAGAATGGGAAGGACAGAAGGGAGAAGAATGGAGGCTGAAAAAATGTGCAGCACAGGGGTCGAGGGCTGATTAAGGAGTCTCTCCTCAGGTTTGGTGACGAACTTGGGGAGGGCTCCGTTGGAAAATGAAAAAAAAAAGAAGAGGAAAAACATCGCCCAGCGTCAGCCTGAGACCCCTGTCAGGGGGTCTGGAGAATCCACAGAGGAGGGTGAGTGCTCCCCTGCTGAGTTTGTTAACCATAAGGAGGCCTTCCCGGCTTTGCAGACGCCTGGGGCCAGGGATACTAACGCCACAGGCGGCAACACCTGTGTGCCACAGAAGTCTGCTCGCCCTGCGTCTGTGGATGTATCTGGACCCCCGCCGCCCTCTGTTACGGTTGCCTCCAGGCTGGTTGGAAGTTGGACCGTAGAAAGGATGCTCCTAGCGCTCACCAAAGGACCATCAGCACTGTTGACACCATAAGTACTGCGTAGCCCACCATAAGTACTGCAGACTCAACGAACCACCGCTGCTGGGCTAGGATCTTGCCGTCTGCTATCCACCCTGGTCCTACGACCAGGCTCCAGGTTCCAGTAGGTGAACCTCTTCCTTCTGTAGAGTGAAGCAGGAACAGGAACAAGAGCTCTTACAAGAGCTCAGTAGTTAAGGGAGTATGAAGAGAATAGCAATCCCTGTAGTGATTAT